GAAGTTGCCGAATTAAAAAATAAGAGGATGAAAAATTTATGTGTTTATAAAGAGGTATTCTACATCATATATTATTCAAACGAGCGGTCGATTATCATCTCGACGCTATCGCCGTGGTTTTCCTCCGCTCTTTGTTTTACGGCTACTCTTTCTCTCCATCCGCATTGAGATTTATTCCACTTTTTCCTGCAAAGAATTCCTCTTTCTTGCGGTGATGTCATGCACAAGTAGTGATACTCTCTCTTATCGAAAGAAATAAAACACTGTGTAACGCGAGATTGCATAAATCAGAAACGCTCATGTCAATCTCCTTTCTCATTTGATCATTAAACGATAATTATTATATCATTGTAATTTTAATTTTAATGCTTCTAAATAAGCAGAAAAAATATAATCTTGATGAGCTTTTACTTTACATTTTGACATTTTATAAAATATTTAATTATTATCTGAACTCTCTTTAATGCTATCTATAATTATACGAATCTTTAAAGAAAGATTGTAAGAGTGTAAAATTGATTACATCTCATGTTTTGATAAAAGGAGTTGAAAATTATATAACAAATATACATACTACATATACACTAATACACACACAACCACAATTATTTTACATAACGGTAATAAAAATAATGATTTATACTTTAAAATGTAATATTACTGAATATAGAGTAATCATTTTATCAAACATTTTAGAAGTAAATAACGTTTTCTAGTGATTTATGAAGTTTGTGAGAAGTGGCATCTATGACGTTTTTCTAAGAACACAAATATCAATTGTCATAATCTTTTCGCACGATTTAGAAATTAGTAGGATTATCATCTTTATCAAATGTTTACACACGTTATTAAGTACACAATGAGCAGAATCAGTCGCTAAAAATAGATCTTTCAATTGTGTTCGATATATTTCTATTAACGCTTCTGTTACACGCATGAATAGCAGCGTTATTAGTCAGTCTTGCGTAAAATCGACATGTAACGAGTGTACAAGAATATGAAGGATATATAAAAGAAATATATAAAAAAGAGTTATAAAACTCACATATTAACTTTTAATACATCCTATTGATTGGAGATATACATTTGTATCAGCTTATTCGATTGCGTCTTCTTTTTTAATAATTACTATGTATATGAAATCCTCAGTATTAAATCAAAGTTATTATTTATATATGTAGCATTAGTATATAATTTATATTATTATATAATTACATATATTAATAATAATTTATAATTTATATATATAATTATATGTATAATTATATGAATAATTTTAATATAATCACATTTATTATATTATCACATTTTTTTCTACATCATTTCTTGTATCATTATATAATCACTTTATAGTATTTAGTATTTAATTTTGCGATACATTTATTGCGTCGCACAGAGCTTAGCGAAGACATGCAATATGTACGTAAAAGTTTCTTGTGCTCTATAAAATTCTTGCGTCCTATGAAACCTCGGATATTTCATGAGACCTTATAAAACGTTATAAACTTCAACGAAACTCGGCGCAACCGCTTAAACTTCTGTGAAAGTAGTAGGCTCTCATGAAATTTGTATGAAGCTTTAAAAATGTTTAATGATCTTACGAAAAGCAATCGAGATTCCTTGATAATAATGGCATGTTTTCCTAAGTTGCGAAGATTATTGCCTGATAATGATCTTTAAGAAATTGATATTTTTTATGGCAGTTTGGGAATCCCATCTTTTCCATATGAGATTAATATTTAATCAACTTTTTACAAAAAAATATTTTATAGATCTATTAATAAGAATTTGTTTACAAAAAAATATGCTACATATTATTTATAGTTGAAATATTTAATTAATTAGGATAACAAATGTTTCATGTAATGTTATATCAAATAATTAAAGAATATTTCAAAAAATTACAATGAACAGTTCTAAGAGATGTAAGCCATAAGAGAGAAATAAATAAAATGAATACAAATTGTGTAAATAGTATTCAATTATTTTACCGTCTTTATGTAATGAGAGAAATAATTGTTTTAATTGATTACTTACAGTTCCTAACAAGAAAAAAAATATAGATGAAGATTAGAAATTAAACTATGTTTACATAATATTGTAACATATTAGAAATAAATATTTCGAATAATATATGTATATTAATATGTAAAAAAAATCAAATAAATATTTTAACAACACATTAAATAATTATTACTTTATATTAATTATTCAAAAATTCAATATAGAAGAAGTTAATAGAAGAAATACACATTTCGTATTCCAATCTTCATCTACAGTTTGTTTTGATGGGGTTTATCATATTATGATAAGATATCGTTAATATCTAAACATTTGCAACATTTGATTAGTTTTTTTACGATTTCTTACATTATGCAAAACGTGAATTTTACTCCGCTCGGCATCGATAATTCAATCGTTCGTCAACATTTGCCTGTTGAACGTGAAAGGGAGAGGGGGCGGGATCGACGTCCTTGTTAAATGGAAATCGAAATCGATGGGCACGGCCGTTCTCGCAGGTTTGCGATTGTTGCGCAAGTACGGCATTCTCGATCGTGAATCACGATCGACGGACTAGCTACGCCCATGTGAGCGCCGGCTGTTGTGCAAGTCGAGATGTAAATGCGTGTCACACTTACCGAGTTTCCCGTGTTCGACTGACCTTAGTCTAGTCAAGGAATAATAATGCAGAATCGGGAAAAGGGAGAAAGAGAGAAAGAGAGAAAGAGAGAGAGAGAGAGAGAGAAAGGGAGAGATAGAAAGAGAGAGGGAAACCGAGATTTATAGCGCGTTACAACAAGCGAGTCACGATTTGTTTCTATGAGCCACGCGAAGGCATTGAATAATGCATATGCATTGAATAAATATATACAAATAATTAAACCAAATTTTATGCAATATATTTTATGCTGTGAGATTTAAGGGGTCTTCCTAGTTTGATGCTCTGAAAATAAAGGTGATTTTTGGGAATTTTTTTAAAGAAAAGTATAAAACATATTAATTCTAAACTTTGCACGTTTATTAAATAACATTTCATATATCCTGAATTTTTTTCAAACAAAAATATTTGTTTCGGAGTTATAGTAGTCCAACCAGGATGACTCAAAAAAAAATGGCGGACATGATTCTAGCCGTTATAGTCATCTGAAATAAAAAAACCAAAAAGATTCTTAATTTGTATGAGTGTGGTTATCGTGTGAACTAGAATTAAATTGATATTTGCAAAATTCAAATTTTGCGACTTACAAAACTAACCAATTTTTTGATGAAAAATGATTTTAGACACTGCCATTTCTTTATTTTTCAATATCTTTTTTTAATTCTAGGTCGCACGGTAACTACACTCATACAAATTAAGAATCATTTTAGTTTTGTTATTTCAGATGACTATAACAGCTGGAATCATGTCCGCCATTTTTTTTTTTAGCCATCTTGGTTAGATTATAACTCCGAACAAAACAAATATTTTTGTTCGAAAAAATTTCAGGGTATACTTGAAATGTTATTTAATAAATGCGCAAAGTTTAGAATTAATATATTTTATACTTTTCTTTAAAAAAATTCACAAAAATCGCCTTTATTTTCAGAACGTCAAACTAGGAAGACCTCTTAATAGTAGATTCGAAAAAATCACGAAAACACTAAATTGAAGGAAATGTTACATAACGAGTTTCTTTGTTTTGTTCTTTTTCTTTGTTTAACTTGTATAGTTTTTAGCTATTAAAACGGATTTATACTGTTATAATATGCAACACAATTGTATATGATTTTTATATAATTAGCCAATTATATAATCAGAAAGAGGTGGTAAAAGTTTATATGTATATGTTATGTTAAATTAAAAGCGATGGAAACAGATAAAGTTGTGTCAAGCTAAACTGTTATATCGTGTTCGGCAGGTTTAACTCATTACAGGTCGTGATCACGTTTTGTGTTGACAAAATCGATCCTTACAAAGGCACGTATCAAAGTAAAACTTGGTATAATATCGAAAGCCATTTCTCTTGATCTCCGAGTTGATTATTGCCTAATCTAGTTATAGTATAATAGATCTGTCTCCATTGTTCTCCTTTAGCAATAACATTGTTAGTTCAAATCGCTCTAGCGCCAATTTTATCGCGGGATCACGTAGCTTTTCTAGCCGCGGCGTTCTCCCTCCCAGTAAATTAACCTCCTCCCCCCTCTCAGCTTTGTTTTAATCATTTCTGCTTCAATTGTTCCAAATATTCCGCTTTCCATCCCTATTTAATGGTAAATATTCACATTAGGTCAACCTCTTCAAAAGTCAATAATCTTGACATATGTTGTCAAGGTCATGACCCTGAGTTAACATCCAAGAAGTTTTAGCCGTTGCTCATTGTTTATTAAAAAGTTATTAACAATTAAATTGTACGATAAGAACAAAATGCGAAAATCTGAACTTCTCCGATTAAAAAAAAAGAACGGTAAATCTTCAATACAGGAGCGACCTCACGAAATTTTTTAAAACTCACATATTTTATGTATTTTAAAGCGTAGAAAATGAAACCGTTGAAAAAAAAATGTTGCTCTTATTCCCCTGTTTTCTTATATTGATAAAATAGAACAATGTGGGGATAATATTTCTGTTTTGTTAATGTGTTTGAGTGTTTATTTTAAATATTGTTTTGTTAAATACTGTTTTAAATATTGGACTTGAGGGGCAAAGCCCCTCCCCCGCCCACGCATTTACTTAAATACTTAAATATACAATTAATATAAAATTTATGCTCGGAAAAGTTCAGATTTTTGCATTTAATACTTGTCCTTATCGTACAATTTAATTGTTAATAACTTTTTAATAAACAACAGTAAAAACTTTGGATGTTACTCAGGGTCATGACCTTGATAACATATGTCAAAGTCATTGACTTTTGAAGGGATTGACTTAATGTGAATATTTACTATATTATTCAGCCGACGCATGCCGGATATTAAGAAACTATCATGATTAATGATGTAGGAAATATAATTGTTTGCAGATTGTCACTGGTGATCTTCGTCGCGTTGTGCGCGACGTGCAGCCGCGCGGATTTTTTCGGCGAGAAAAAGGGTGAGTTTCACAAAGTTAATTTTTAGCGCTAATGGACTCCACGGCTCTCGCGAGGATATGTACGTTCCTCTGCCCGTTTCCGCGTATCTTACTCGCTGACGATTCGCTGCAATATTCTCCTCGGGGGATTCTATTCTCCCCGAGCGAAGGTACTTTGCGCGAATATTCAGCAGCTTTTTTCTCGACCACACCCCCTTTCTCCGCGCTTGCCATTACAATTCGCCTTACGTGACTAGTGATTTATTACTATGTTAAGTACGGAATGTATTTAGTCAAGCAGTGAATAATGATATCAGAGAGGCGATAAGAGCTGCGGACAAATTGTTGTGAATGTGCATGAATTTACGTATACGTCGCGACCAGAGCGTTGATCTTGCGCGACGATTTTAATTAATAGGATAATTTGTATTGCATGTAATTTTTGTATCATAAACGATTTTTTTATTTGTATTAGATTATAAGCGTTTTATTCAAAAAATTTTTCGCATAGCGTTTAATTATTATTATTTATTGTTTTGAGCAAAAATCCTTACTAATATAATAAATGTCTTTTTTCAAGTTTTTATTTAGTTTGAGTTCTTGATATTCTCAATATACAATGAATTAGAACTGTGGATTGAACAATTTATACTGATGAGAACGCAATCCGTCGACTGTAATGAGATCGATTGATTTGCTTTTAACCCTTACAATGTTCAATATTCGTTTTCATTTTTCCTTCTTCGTCTCGTAACAAAAGCAATATCGTTCCTATATCTTTCTTTCCGGAAAAAAATTTAATTATATAAAGTCATATACACAGAGATTCTTAAGTTTTACATCAATCTGAGAATTTTGTTTAATTTATTATATCATTATGCGCATTTTACGTTTATAAATTTTCCGATACTCTTTTATATTGTTTATAGTTTACATTAATGTTTCTGATCATCAAAATTTAATGTTTGTCCAATCATAATTATTTAACATTGTCGTTACCGCCATACCATTATCGATTAATTATTCAATGTACATAAATAGCCTTCGCTAGCAAGTCCAGAAATAATTGAAAAATTTACAAAGCTTATAATCCGGCCTATTGATATTTTTTGATATCAATGTATTGAATTATTTTCTTCATATTTGTTGATGCTTTTATGCTTTTAATATATTTAATATATTACAGACTTTTTACAGAAAAATTAAATTCCATTAAAATTGATAGTAAAATGTTAAATTTCTTTTTTTATATGATAAAAATACGTTTTTTCCATGAAAAATGAGGCAAAATGACTATATTTTTACAATATATATTTAACCGTCTCTTATGCCTCTCATCGAATCATGTCTATGTCCGAATATAACTGTGCGATGCGCTCTGTTCGCATCGACGGGATGCTTAATACTCAGAGCGGATTTCGTGCTCTCGTCACGTCTCACTCTAATCTACCAGTTTTATAAGGATACCTCGACGATTCCTGAGGGAATCTGAGGATTTTTCACTTCCCCTTCCTGACAAGAGAACCGCCAGTTGCTCACCTCCGCAGTAGTAAAGCCGACGTATGGTCAGACATGCCGCAATCCCGTAATCTCGTCTGTGTTCTTGTCCTACTTAGAACTATTCCAATATCCACTTATTCCTCTCTACCTTACTCTCACGAGTTAAAATGCGACAGTTATTTTCGAGATTATATATCATTATTCACTGCTTGACTAAATACATTCCGTACTTAACATAGTAATAAATCACTAGTCACGTAAGGCGAATTGTAATGGCAAGCGCGGAGAAAGGGGGTGTGGTCGAGAAAAAAGCTGCTGAATATTCGCGCAAAGTACCTTCGCTCGGGGAGAATAGAATCCCCCGAGGAGAATATTGCAGCGAATCGTCAGCGAGTAAGATACGCGGAAACGGGCAGAGGAACGTACATATCCTCGCGAGAGCCGTGGAGTCCATTAGCGCTAAAAATTAACTTTGTGAAACTCACCCTTTTTCTCGCCGAAAAAATCCGCGCGGCTGCACGTCGCGCACAACGCGACGAAGATCACCAGTGACAATCTGCAAACAATTATATTTCCTACATCATTAATCATGATAGTTTCTTAATATCCGGCATGCGTCGGCTGAATAATATAGTAAATATTCACATTAAGTCAATCCCTTCAAAAGTCAATGACTTTGACATATGTTATCAAGGTCATGACCCTGAGTAACATCCAAAGTTTTTACTGTTGTTTATTAAAAAGTTATTAACAATTAAATTGTACGATAAGGACAAGTATTAAATGCAAAAATCTGAACTTTTCCGAGCATAAATTTTATATTAATTGTATATTTAAGTATTTAAGTAAATGCGTGGGCGGGGGAGGGGCTTTGCCCCTCAAGTCCAATATTTAAAACAGTATTTAACAAAACAATATTTAAAATAAACACTCAAACACATTAACAAAACAGAAATATTATCCCCACATTGTTCTATTTTATCAATATAAGAAAACAGGGGAATAAGAGCAACATTTTTTTTCAACGGTTTCATTTTCTACGCTTTAAAATACATAAAATATGTGAGTTTTAAAAAATTTCGTGAGGTCGCTCCTGTATTGAAGATTTACCGTTCTTTTTTTTTAATCGGAGAAGTTCAGATTTTCGCATTTTGTTCTTATCGTACAATTTAATTGTTAATAACTTTTTAATAAACAACAGTAAAAACTTTGGATGTTACTCAGGGTCATGACCTTGATAACATATGTCAAAGTCATTGACTTTTGAAGGGATTGACTTAATGTGAATATTTACTATATTATTCAGCCGACGCATGCCGGATATTAAGAAACTATCATGATTAATGATGTAGGAAATATAATTGTTTGCAGATTGTCACTGGTGATCTTCGTCGCGTTGTGCGCGACGTGCAGCCGCGCGGATTTTTTCGGCGAGAAAAAGGGTGAGTTTCACAAAGTTAATTTTTAGCGCTAATGGACTCCACGGCTCTCGCGAGGATATGTACGTTCCTCTGCCCGTTTCCGCGTATCTTACTCGCTGACGATTCGCTGCAATATTCTCCTCGGGGGATTCTATTCTCCCCGAGCGAAGGTACTTTGCGCGAATATTCAGCAGCTTTTTTCTCGACCACACCCCCTTTCTCCGCGCTTGCCATTACAATTCGCCTTACGTGACTAGTGATTTATTACTATGTTAAGTACGGAATGTATTTAGTCAAGCAGTGAATAATGATATCAGAGAGGCGATAAGAGCTGCGGACAAATTGTTGTGAATGTGCATGAATTTACGTATACGTCGCGACCAGAGCGTTGATCTTGCGCGACGATTTTAATTAATAGGATAATTTGTATTGCATGTAATTTTTGTATCATAAACGATTTTTTTATTTGTATTAGATTATAAGCGTTTTATTCAAAAAATTTTTCGCATAGCGTTTAATTATTATTATTTATTGTTTTGAGCAAAAATCCTTACTAATATAATAAATGTCTTTTTTCAAGTTTTTATTTAGTTTGAGTTCTTGATATTCTCAATATACAATGAATTAGAACTGTGGATTGAACAATTTATACTGATGAGAACGCAATCCGTCGACTGTAATGAGATCGATTGATTTGCTTTTAACCCTTACAATGTTCAATATTCGTTTTCATTTTTCCTTCTTCGTCTCGTAACAAAAGCAATATCGTTCCTATATCTTTCTTTCCGGAAAAAAATTTAATTATATAAAGTCATATACACAGAGATTCTTAAGTTTTACATCAATCTGAGAATTTTGTTTAATTTATTATATCATTATGCGCATTTTACGTTTATAAATTTTCCGATACTCTTTTATATTGTTTATAGTTTACATTAATGTTTCTGATCATCAAAATTTAATGTTTGTCCAATCATAATTATTTAACATTGTCGTTACCGCCATACCATTATCGATTAATTATTCAATGTACATAAATAGCCTTCGCTAGCAAGTCCAGAAATAATTGAAAAATTTACGAAGCTTATAATCCGGCCTATTGATATTTTTTGATATTAATGTATTGAATTATTTTCTTCATATTTGTTGATGCTTTTATGCTTTTAATATATTTAATATATTACAGACTTTTTACAGAAAAATTAAATTCCATTAAAATTGATAGTAAAATGTTAAATTTCTTTTTTTATATGATAAAAATACGTTTTTTCCATGAAAAATGAGGCAAAATGACTATATTTTTACAATATATATTTAACCGTCTCTTATGCCTCTCATCGAATCATGTCTATGTCCGAATATAACTGTGCGATGCGCTCTGTTCGCATCGACGGGATGCTTAATACTCAGAGCGGATTTCGTGCTCTCGTCACGTCTCACTCTAATCTACCAGTTTTATAAGGATACCTCGACGATTCCTGAGGGAATCTGAGGATTTTTCACTTCCCCTTCCTGACAAGAGAACCGCCAGTTGCTCACCTCCGCAGTAGTAAAGCCGACGTATGGTCAGACATGCCGCAATCCCGTAATCTCGTCTGTGTTCTTGTCCTACTTGTAGTTCCTCTCTACCTTACTCTCACGAGTTAAAATGCGACAGTTATTTTCGAGATTATATAACTAGATGAATTTCTAATTCGATTAAAAAGCGGTCATCGAAAATCAAATACGAAACGATTATCTGAAATGTTATCTAATAAAAATACATTTCATCATTTGTTAGTAATAAGAAATGGTAAACTTGATTATGTTTGTATGCATAACAATAAAAGTAATAATTCATGAAATAATAATTTATGATAAATGGCGTCTTTCTTGGCTAATGAAATTTTTATCAACGTCACGAGGAATGTCATTAGCGTCAGATGAATCATCCGCCTTTGGGGGACGAGTTAATAAAACAGTGTCTTTGAGCATAATTATTGTCTATTGTCTCTTCTTGAAATGCAATGATTATTTTCGTCGCGTCCTGGTTCCTTCGCGACGATTTCATAACCCATGGCGACGCTCCGCAAACGCAAAGAAGATTTAATCTCGCGCCGG